TTTACATTTTAGTCACTAGCCCTGTTTTTGGGATGTTACAAATCTCCCATCCTTTATGAAAATTTGTTATCAAATTTTCACTGCACCAATAGATGAAGATATTGTCTACACATATCCTATTTATATTCTCATGTTGCCTCCTCAATTTAATTTTTCGTGTTTTCACTAATAACCTTGGCTTTCATTTCTTCAATTCTTCAACTACCCTTTTTTCTTTGTACATCCTTATCATGTCGCTTATCATATAGACAATAACATCAATTCTTATCACTCAAAATCATAAATCAATCAGTTTCCTCATCAATATCTAATTACCTTGAAATAATAACCAAACTTTTATTTCATCATCATTCAACTGCATCTTAAACTTCCTTAATACCTATAAATCATTCTTTATCTCTCTGACTACGTCTACTTGACCAAGAAACATAACCTTAAATCTTCATCATAGATGATCAAGACATACACTTTGCAAAATCAAACAATCTTTCACATCACCTGACGTACCTTTCTTACTTCTAATCAAACTTATAATATATACCTCAATATAACTTTTGACCCTAAACCCTAAACCATCATCTTCATTTCCTTATCCCATTATTTTTCCATAAATCAAGATCTCCTTATAACATAGGTCACATCTTTTCCTTCATGATCTCATACTCCTTTCATATCACTTATACTTATCACCGATTACCAATCTTTATCGCATTTTCATAACTTTAATAGTCAACACTACTTGCAAAAAAAATTATTCTTGTAAAATCCTTATTCGAATTACAATACACATATCCCTTTTTATCATCTTAGACTTTTCTATCAATCCTTAGCTTCGCTCAAACATACAAATCCTCCTCTCCTTCACTATATCACATTTACATGATCAAAATACACAACCATATCCAAATCCACATCATACATGTTTAGCTTACCCTGGCATCATCTTCTAATCCTTTAACTCTGACATACTTACTATCATATAATTTTGTTAGTCAACACCAGTTCTTTTAATCTAAAGCGCAAACCCTCATCAAACCATTCATATACATTCTTTCCAGTCGGAATTAACTCATCAATAATTTACTTAACTTATCAAACCCGCATTCTTACTCATACACGGTATTATTCCTTTGTTTCAAACTCATAAAATCTGGCTTCATTTGTCTTATAAACTTGTCACCAATGTACTTATTCTTGAACTCTTCTACAAAATTCTAACCCCATCATTTGATTTAATAACGTTCCCATGGTGAAATTTTTCCACCATTTTCTATCTTATTCACACAATAACAAAACTACTCCATATAAATTTCCGATTCACAACAGTGGAGACCCTCTAACATTATTCTAACATGTTTTCAACTTTTCAAAAACAACATTTGATCTTACAAGGCACTTCCTGAGGTGTCCGCTCTTCATCCTGTCTGGCCAGGGCAGGTGAATTGCTACCACTATCATGTCTATCACTTTTCACTTCACTTTGAAACTCTTATTATCATGCCTCTAATATAACAAAACAATCTAACTCTATTAACAAGACATCACACTCCTTACACTATCAGATCAAAAATTTTCTTTTTGTTGGAATGTACAGATTTTAAAACTCGTTTGACTTTGGTTTAATCCTAGAATCGGCTAAACCATAGCTCGAATACCATTAAATGTAATACCCCCAACCCGTATCCTACCCTGATACGAGTCCGAGATGTCACATTGATTTAACAAAACTCTTACTTTTACAAAATAGTTGAACATTTAAATTTATATTGAAAACTGAATAACTGATATTAAATACAATCAAATAGTTTTACAAAAATCGATCAGAGTATGTTCAACTAAATCTCTTATTACATGCCAACTATCCTCATTAAAATCAAATACATACAATTTATGACTTTTCTGATCTGATCTTCGAAAAGGAGAACCTGACCTGTTATAACCCTCGTTGCTCCTTAATCTTCTTGGAACCTAAGTGTGAAAAATTCACACTCTAAGTCGATGACTTAGTGAGGCATAACAACATATAATGAAAACTTAATTATCTATTAATGCATGAACACTTTATACAATGATATCACACAACATCATATAAAAATTCATAGATCCTTTCATATAACAATTACATACATGCACCCATATTATAGTCTACACTATTAACATTATCATATATTATTATCATTAATCTTTCTTTTCATTTAATCTTGTACTTAACACTTATACACCTTGTATCATACCTTTCATACATCAAAACATATAACATTCACATAGAATTTATTTATGATATATCTTTTTAGTAGCCCATGTATACTTCTGAGAGCTAAAGATATGTGAGTACATTGAGGTTGTGCACATATGCTGTCACCACGGCTCGTATAAATTCCCTCTAGGGGCACATAGAATTTTTCCCGAAAGACCGTGTAAAAATGTCCCGAAGGACCACATTTATGTCCCGAAGGACCACATAGATATCCCGAATGACGACTCCTTAAGGATCACATATAAATTCCAAAGGACTAAATATGTGTCCCGAAGAACCGCATATATGTCCCAAAGGATTACATATATATCCTGAAGGACCATGTAGAACCCTCGACTCGTGGCATGCCAACTATACCCCTAGCTCTCATAACACATAACATGGGCATTACTTATTGTGTCCTTTCACGTATTTACATAGGCACGTAGTTCACTTACGTAGAACATTTCCATATAATTCACCTATCACATATCACATGACTTATATCTTGTTCTTATGTCTTCTCATAGACATATATTCACATGGCTCATCACATATACGTAGCTTATATCACGTTTTCATGTATCACATATATCTTGTCACATGACTTATATCTTATGATCATATAATCACATAATCACATAACTTATATTATATTCTCATATTATCACATAATCATGTATTTACATAAATCATATAGCACATACAAGAACATATCAACACATATACTCATGCATACATAACAATCATGTCAATCATAAGCTTGTATTAATGACTCCATGCACTATAATCATGGAAAATAGACTTATCGCAAGTCCAATTCCATATGATCCTAAATCAAAATAAGATGCACTCACCTTAGCCTCACTAGTCCAAGTCATGCACTTATCTCTTCTTGCTCGATCTTATCTCGTTCACTTATCAGATACTCACTTTTGATCGGTATCTTTTCCAAATAGCTTTTACGACTGAAGGAAGAAGAAGAAGAAGAGTTCTCTCGATATTTTTTCTTCTCATCTACACGTGTAAATATATAGCACCACAATCAATTTTTAATTATTTTCTTGCCAAATGACCATTATACCCTTCTATCTTTCCATCTTTACTAATCAATCATACTCACATAATTTTCAATTAAATTCTTGAACTTTTAACTTGTTTTGAATTTGATCACAAAATTTACATTTTAATCACTAGTTCTGTTTTTGGGATGTTACACTGTGTTTTAAAGGTTACCACCAAATATATTTTATAAAGTGATTAATAAAGATTATATAGTATTTAAAGTTGTCGAGATATTAAACTGGTGAGGTTCAAATGTTTATGAAAATAATTTCGAGAGGGGAAGAAGAGGACAATGTTAACAAGGAAAAAGATAATTTGTGACTTTTATTAGAGTGACAAGCATTACAATGATAATCAAGAGAAGAATTATTAACATCCAAATGAAAGGAAGAAATTATTTGTGTGAACGTCGATAGAGATGGGTGACAAGTCCGTGATGCCATGTAAGGGACGTGGCAGGTGCGGAAGGGTTATGCCACTTACAGATTCTATTATTAGGTTGACCTTGAAAAAGGATGACTCCCGTCTAAAGATCCTTGTCAGCAAAGGAAGATGGTGAGGATTTAGCAGATGCATTGTTAAATTTGTAGAATTGAGAAATGGACATTAAATTAAATATAAGAAAGATTAAAATTATTGGAAATAATAGGGAGAGAAGTTAAATCAGCGTGGGTAATGGGAATTCCAAAACTATCACCAATCATTGACCAATGTAAGAATTTTGAACAAGAAGATTTTGAAGATCGATTGCAATACAGTAAGCAGGACCGTATCTGGACGGCAGCAAGGACACTTGTCCAGTGCTCAAAATTTTTTTAATGCATAGTTTTATATCAGTTACAGGAATCAATTATTTTTAAATGTCAATGTTTGTTATAATTTTTCTTAATTTAAATTATTTAATTTAGTTTAGTTTGAATTCTTTATCTTTAGGCTTTAATTACTTGTTTTTGCCTATATAAATGTACTGAATGTTAGTGAAATATAACATTGAAATTTAAAAATAATTGATTCCAAAACTTACTGAATTATACTTTCTTGTTCAGGGCTTTAACACTCGTTTTTGCCTATAATTATGTTATCTTATCATCTTGCATCAGTCACCATCCTCTTAGACTGCAAGAAAGTATAATTCTTTGTAGCAACAATCTCCCCTTCCCAAAAGGTTACCACCTGAGAAAAATCAGAAAGTAAAACACAAATGGTACAAGAGGTAAGATCAATAGAGTAGTAAGTTTTTATTGGTCATTGATTTTTTGTAATGGAGTTAACGTTGGAGACAAATAAGATAATGATTTAAACAAAAAAACAAAACGTTTCGAAAAATACTTTAGGGGACAACTCGATAAAAAATAAATAGTTTAGTGCATTTAATATATCACAAAATGAAAAAATATTTGGGAACGAAATAACATGCAAGTGTTGTCACAATCAAACCCAAATTTTCTACCATTCATTATATTTACTAAGGAAAATGGAGCTCAAGTAACAAAGGCCACACAAATTTCTTACATGGATTGACCGAAGCCCTTCACTTGGAAATTTCCTTGATGGCGTTGATGTTAGTGGCTCTCAATGTCTGTGATTTGTGTGGCAAAACTGGCGTTGAATAATTTGGTCTATCATATCTCTGATTTTAATGTGTCATAAACAGGTAGCTTAATTCAAAACTACTTCATTTTAGAGATTCCATGAACTTTCATACTGATCTCAAGCACCATTACATGACCAAGAAACAAAACAAGTAGATTATGGACATGTGTTTAGCTTTTAGATTAGCAATTCTGCTAACTCCTATGATAAGCTTAGCAACCAGCAGCGATGATGTTGGTTTCATCTACAATGGATTCCGGTCAGCTAATCTAAGCCTTGATGGCATCGCACAGTTCACTTCCAATGGACTCCTTAAGCTCACCAATGCAACCCACCAACAACAAGGCCATGCCTTCTACCCTCACCTTGTAAACTTCATGAACTCAACCAAGGGTTCTGTTTCTTCCTTCTCTACCAACTTTGTCTTCGCAATTACTTCCGAATACCCGACTATCAGCGGCCACGGAATCGCTTTCGTGATTTCACCAACCATGGGCCTTCCTGGAGCTCTTCCAAGCCAGTATCTAGGGCTCTTCAATGACACCGACAATGGCAATAGAAGAAACCACGTTGTTGCTGTAGAACTCGATACCATACAAAGTAGAGAATTTGGTGACATCAATAACAATCACGTTGGGATCGATATTAATGGTTTAAGGTCTATTGCATCTACTCCAGCTGGATATTACGAGGATGGCAGCCGTCAGCTTAGAAACCTGAGTATGATCAGTGGGAAAAGGATACAAGTTTGGGTCGAATATCATGGTCTGGAGAAGCGAATGGATGTTACTTTAGCTCCATTTAAGGTTTCCAAACCCAAGAGTCCACTTTTATCTACGCATCTTGATATTTCTTCAATCGTTAACGATGAGATGTATGTTGGTTTTTCATCCTCAACTGGCTCTATATTCTCATCTCATTATGTTTTGGGTTGGAGCTTTAAGATGAATGGTGAGGCGCAAGAGCTTACCCTGTCTCAACTTCCAAAGCTTCCTCGGCTTGGACCGAAGAAAAGATCAAGGCTTTTGACAGTTGGGTTGCCTTTGATTTTAGTGAGTATGATTTTGGTAGCAGTTTCAGGTGTAGTTTGTTTTTTGAGGAGGAAGATGAAGTTTGCTGAAGTTGTTGAAGATTGGGAGCTTGAGTATGGGCCTCGTAGGTTCAAGTTTAAAGATCTATATATTGCTACAAAAGGATTCCAGGACAAGGAGCTATTGGGTGCTGGTGGATTTGGAAGAGTCTATAGAGGTGTTCTTCCAACCAGCAAACTAGAGGTTGCAGTGAAAAGAGTCTCACATGAATCGAGACAAGGGATGAAGGAATTCGTAGCGGAAATCGTTAGTATGGGCGGTCTCCATCACCGGAATTTAGTACAAGTCCTAGGATATTGCCGGCGTAAAGGCGAGCTACTCTTGGTCTATGACTACATGCCTAATGGAAGCCTTGACAACTACTTGTATGACCAACCAAAGGTCACCCTTAATTGGGTACAAAGATTCAGAATCATCAAAGGTGTAGCATCAGGATTGTTTTATTTACATGAAGAATGGGAGCAAGTTGTGATTCACAGAGATGTCAAGGCCAGCAATGTTTTGCTTGATGATGAGTTAAATGGAAGATTGGGAGATTTCGGGCTTGCTAGATTATATGATCATGGAACTGAACCACAAACAACTCATGTTGTGGGCAGTCTTGGCTATATGGCTCCAGAGCATACTCGAACCGGGAAAGCCACACCCTGCACCGATGTGTTTGCTTTTGGGGCATTTCTGCTTGAAGTTGCCTGTGGAAGAAGGCCAATATCTCAATCTCCAACAGAAGATTTCATTTTGGTTGACTGGGTCTTTTCTTACTGGTGCAAAGGTGATATTGTGGAGGCCAAGGATCCAAATTTGGGTTCAGATTATGTGACTGAGGAAGTTGAGTTGGTTTTAAAACTCGGGTTGATCTGCTCCCACTCGGAGCCTGAAGCAAGGCCGAGCATGCGCCATGTTGTTCAGATTTTGGAAGGGGATATTCCTTTCCCGGAAATATCATCACTTGGTCTGTGTTCTAGTGGCCTAACATTTACCCATCGTGAAGGCTTCCATGATTTTGGCATGTCGTATACATCTTCCACTGACAAGAGATTCTCCCATTCATCTGCTGCGGCGTCTCAATTTTCAGGAAGTCGATGATTGTAACCTTTTCTCAAGTTTTTAATAAAGCTTAGGCTCTGTTTTATTCAAAAGTAGAGTAACCTTTTCTGCTTTTTTTTTCTGTCTTTGTTCTTCAAAAAAAAAAAGCTTAGGATAAATTACACCCATTACCACCTAACTATGGGAAGATTTCATTTTGACCCCCAATCTAACCACTAATTATTTAAGTGTTGTTAATTAAGTCCCCAGCCATTAACATTTGATAGGTGATGTGAATGTTAAAAAAATTGTTATAATTCTACATTCAGTCCTCAATATTCACACATTCTATTAATTTAGTTTTAATTTTAATTTAATTAAATAAATTTAATCTCTAATTAGGTGATGACATATGTCACTATCTAATTAAAACATATTTTTTTATTTTTAATTGATTTAATCTAATAAATTGTCACCCCCTATTAGGGGAAAATAAATTGGAGTTTATGCACGCCTAAACTACTCAACCAAGTATCATAGTTAGTAGTATATTGCTGTTAATGACAAAAGAAAATGCTAATGGAATGATTGAAAGCTGAGACTTTAAGTAAGAATGAGAGCACCTTAACAAGGCCAAATCACATATATGAATCTTTAAACATATTGTTTGAATTTTCTCAACCATATAAATTATGGTTTATGGGTATCCAAAATTCTAATAAATACCCAATTTTCGTATTTTATAAATTCAAGTATAAATTAAATATATATATATATATATTCGCTCCGTCCTATAATTTGTGTCATATATTAACTATACACATAGTTTTAAGAGATATATTTGACAAAGGAGAATGATAAAATTATCCCTAAAAAATTATTGATAGACTTATTTTAATAGGTGTAAAAGAGTGGGACATACAAGGGTAAAAAAGAAAATATAATTATTGTTGTTTGTTAACTTTTTCTAATATAACATTTTGAACGAGATAATTTTAAAAACCAAAAGAGAGACATTTAATGGAACGAAGGGAGTAATATATTATAAAAAGATAATAATATTAATTTCCGAAATTTCAAACCCTTTACCAAAGTTTCTAACCTTAATATAATTTTCTAACGGGAGAGTTGGAGAAGCTTTCCTTGTAGTGCCACTTCATATTTGTTGATTGAATCCTTTGACTCTTCTGTTTACCGAGACTTGTTTTAATTGAATGAAAAGCTTCTTTCTCATACTAAAACTCCACCCAAAAATAGTTTAAAATATTCATTCAATCACTCCATTTTTATCATATCTTATCGTTTAATTTTAATTTTTTTACTCAATTTTCAAGACATTTTTAGTCACCCAATTGTTAGTTGTATAATAGTAGTACCAAAATGTCGAGTTTTAAGAATTTTATTTATGAACTTAATCTGATATTTGGACCTTTTTTATCTTTCTCAAGTAGCAGTCCTTCTCAATCATCGTTTGGTAATTGTCGACCGTTGTTTGCGATATAATTGGTATTAAAAAATCTCATTTCTTCCCTATTTCTTCTTCACAATTCAGTTTTATTTGAAAATAATAAAATTTAAATCAAAGTTCTAACTTTTTTTGACCTCTCCTCGTTCAAATTTAAAAGAAAATACTATGATACAAATGGATCAAAGAGAATTTAAAAATGTGAGCTTTAGAGGAAAGTTCTAGGTTAACCAAAAAAATTTAAACGATGTTAAAGACTTCATTTCCGAGTAATCAAAAGAGCAAAAAAGAAATGTGAAAAAGGATGAGTGACCAAAAATGTAGTTCACCGCTATAAATAAGTGAACCAGATGGGAAAGAAAAAGTTGAAAACTCCTTTTCTAATCAAATCAGTGTCGATTGGAAGAGAAAAACATCAAGTGTTGTAACGATCAATAGATAAAGCTAAACAAAATACCACGATTTTCTTCTATACATTGTATTTACAGAGAAAGAGCTGGAACAATTGAGGTTCAGAACTTTCAGCAGACAGAGACCTGGAACATTAATTTCTTACAGGGATATTGACCAAAGTCCTTCCGTTGGAAACTTCCTTGGTGGCGTTGATGTCACTGACTCTCAATTGCGTGGGGAAACTGGCGTTGAATACTGTGGTCTAGCATATACCTGAGCTTTAACGTGCCACAAACGGTAGTTTACAGGTAACCTAAAGATCAAGCTTGCTTTGCAAATGCACATATTTTCAGTTTCAATCAGAATTTGCGACTGATTTGCCATAATCTGCTCGCTTTCAGATTATGACAATTTGTTTCACTTTCAGTTTAGCAATCCTGCTAATTCCTATGATAAGCTTAGCAGCCAGTGATGATGTTGGTTTCATTTACAATGGATTCCGATCATCTAATCTAAGCCTTGATGGCATCGCAGGTTCACCTCCAATGGACTCCTAAAACTCACTAATGAAACCAGCCAACAAACAGGCCATGCCTTCTACCCTCACCCTGTAAACTTTAAAAACTCAACCAATGGTTCCGTTTCTTCCTTCTCCACCACCTTTGTCTTCGCTATTACTTCTCAATATCTTTCTCTCAGCGGTCACGGAATCGCTTTCGTGATTTCACCAACCATGGGCCTTCCCGGAGCTCTTCCAAGCCAGTATCTTGGACTCTTCAATGAGTCCAACAATGGCAATAGAAGAAACCACGTTTTTGCCGTAGAACTCGATACCATACAAAGTAGAGAGTTTGGTGACATCAATGACAATCATGTTGGGATGATATTAACGGTTTAATGTCTATGCATCGATTCCAGCTGGATATTACGAAGATGGGAGCCGTCAGCTTAGAAACGTGAGTATGATCAGTGGGCAAAGGATACAAGTTTGGGTCGAATATCATGGACCGGAGAAGCAAATGGATGTCACTTTAGCTCCATTTAAGGTTTCTAAACCCAAGACTCCACTTTTATCTACGCATCTTGATCTTTCTTCAATCATTAACGATGAGATGTATGTTGGTTTTCCATCCTCATCTGGCTCTGTTTTCACACTTCATTATGTTTTGGGTTGGAGCTTCAAGTTGAATGGTGAGGCACAAGAGCTTACTCTGTCTCAACTTCCGAAACTTCCTCGGTTTGGACCAAAGAAAAGATCAAGACTTTTGACATTGGGTTGCCTTTGATTTTAGTGAGTGTGATTTTGGCAGCAGTTTCAGGTGTCGTTTGTTTCTTAAGGAGGAAGATGAAGTTTGCTGAAGTTGTTGAAGACTGGGAGCTTGAGTATGGGCCTCATAGATTCAAGTTCAAAGATCTATATGTTGCAACAAACGGATTCAAAGACACGGAGCTATTGGGTGAGGGAGGATTTGGAAGAGTCTATAGAGGAGTTCTTCCAACCAGTAAACTTGAAGTTGCAGTGAAAAGAGTCTCGCACGAATCGAGACAAGGGATGAAGGAATTCATAACAGAAATCGTGAGTCTCGGCTCGCTCCGTCACCGGAATTTAGTTCAACTCTTGGGGTATTGCCGGCGTAAAGGTGAGCTACTCTTGGTCTACGACTACATGCCTAATGGAAGTCTTGATAAGTACTTGTACGACCAGCCAAAGGTCACCCTTAATTGGGTACAGAGATTCAGAGTCATCAAAGGTGTATGTTATGTATGGCTCATAAAAGGTCTCGTTGTGGGGTTACGAATTATGTGGGTTGGGGGTGTGGGGGCGCAGCCCCCGCGGTACGGTACAGGGTTGATTTTGTAATTATGTACCAGGGTTTTCTATTATAAATAGAGATGTAACCTAGACCTAAAATATCATTGAATAAAAACTTCTAGCGCCGCATAGGCACCGAGGACGTAAGCACATTGCCGAACCTCGTAAAATTCTCGTGTTCTTTCGTTTTTTTTACCCGTTTTCGTCAACAATTGGTATCAGATGTCAGGAGCAAAATTCGAAGTCACGAAATTCGATGGTCAGGGTAACTTCGGATTATGGCAAACGAGGGTGAAGGATCTATTGGCGCAGCAAGGGATCTTGAAGGCTTTGCGACCTATAAAGCCGGCGTCGATGGATGAGGAAGATTGGGAAGAATTGCAGCAGCGAGCGGCAGGAACCATACGATTATGCTTGGCGGACGAGGTCATGTATCACGTCATGCATCTATCGTCTCCAGACGAAATTTGGAGGAAGTTGGAAAGTCAGTTTATGTCCAAATCATTAACGACAAACTGTATCTGAAGCAGCGGCTGTATGGGCTGAAGATGCAGGACGATCACGATTTGGCGCAACACGTGAATGTCTTCAATCAAATCGTTTCTGATCTGGCTCGGCTTGATGTGAAAATTGAGGATGAAGACAGAGCGATGATTCTGTTGTGTTCGTTACCTTCCTCTTACGAACACATGGTGACTACTCTTACATATGGGAAGAGACTATCAACGTTGAGGAGATTACTGCAGCCTTGTTGGCTCACAACCAGCGGAAGCAGAATGCAGGGGAAAGCTCTCAAGCCGATAGCTTATATGTCAAGGGTAATCGAGATCGTGGACGGCCAGAGAAGGCAGGGTCCGGAAGCGGAATTCCAGATCCAAATCCAGGGATAAGAAGACGATTCACTGTTACAAGTGCAAGGAGGCGGGACATGAAGCGAGACTGTCCGAAGTTGAAAAAACAGACCGATGAGAAGCGTGATGGCTCATCCAAGTCTGTGAACGTGGTCGAGGATGATACTTCTGATTGCAGTGAGGGTGATATGCTTTCTATTTCACGACACAATTGACAGATGCTTGGATTCTTGATTCTGGATGTTCTTATCACATCACGCCAAATAGGAATGGTTTTCGACATACAGGCCGGTTAATTCTGGTTCGGTTTATTTGGGTGATGATCGATGTTGCAATATTGTTGGTATTGGTGATGTCAGAATTAAGATGCACGATGGCTCCGTTCGGACGTTGAGTGGTGTTCGACATATCCCAGACTTGAAGAAGAATTTGATTTCCTTGGGCACTTTGCACAAGAATGGTTTTATCCTAAGGCTGACGAGGATAGGGAAACCATTCGGATTGTTAAGGAGCATTGACTGTGATGAAAGGCAAGATG